TTTTGTATTATTTAATATATTATAGTTATATTAACTAATGTTTTACTATTGGTTAATTTATTTTTGGCAATAAACAATACTTGTAAAACTTCCTGATGTTAGCAAAAAAACTTTATATGTTCTAGCATCTTCTTCAGAGATTAGAACTCCTTTTGCTATGAAAATCATAGCTAGATTATTTTGCATCCCAACATATATAGTGTCAAAATTTGCCAAGAAATCAGTTTAGAGAAGGCTCATAGCTTGTTTTATATCAGTATTATCTCTTAAAAGAATACTTTTCATCTTTATAAATGTGGAGTACTCTAAAACCTTATTTCCTAATAAGAAATTGGCAAAACATGCCATATGTTATAACTTAAATAATTTCTCTCTAAAAGTAGCTTTTTATAAATCACATATTCACAAAAGCAGACAAGATCAGCATGTTTGTTAAAAGAATATAGTAGCAAGAAAATTAAAACTTAATAAAAATAATATTACATAACTCCAGTCACTTATCTGTTTGTTTGTATAAATATTCTTAATTACTTTCTGGTCAATAGTTAACTTAAATTTATCTGCAAATTTTTTGTATAAAAACTGCACTTAATCACAAGTAAAGTTTGGATTCTGAAATGATTCATTAATGTTGAATAGTGATGTGGTCAATTTATTTGAATTTAAATATAAAATACTGAAAGATCTAATGATAAAGACAGACTTGATGCATAACAATCTTTTGTTGCTTTAATACTATGAAGAGTACTTAGGCATGATAAGCAAATATCATCTGTTGCAGAGTATAACATATCAAACTCATTGATAAGGAGAACAACAAGATTTTTCCATCTATTTTTTTTAAATGCTATATCAAAATCACTGGCAGAATTAATGTTATCAAATTCAAATTGTTTAGGAACACTAATGTTGAGATAAATGTCTAATGTTTGCCAAAATTTGTTTATGCTTTTCATGCTAATTTGCTCAAAAGATAAACTGTTCTGAAGTGAAATAATAAAAATAACAATAGGTTAGATTGCAAGAAATATGATCTATTTAAAGAAGAAGACAAACTTACTATATGCAAACAATGCCTTTTTTATTTAATTGCTCCTGAAGTTGGAGCACTCGCATAGATTTTCTAGATGCTTTAGGTCCATGTAGAGCCACAAATTGACCTTTTTGAATTTTTTCTAAAAGTAAACAACTCTTTTCTATTGGATCTATGAAGTATTCAGCATAAACTATACTTGAATGAATGGCATCATTTATTTTCTATCTTCTTTTCTTCAATATAGTAATTACAGCAGATCAAAAATTTTAATTAGTAAGAAAGAGCATAATACAAAGCAAACAAACTTTGTATAATCTTATGTTCTTTCTCTGTCTTTCTTTTTCTCTTAAGTTCTAGTATTAACAAGGCACAAGTTAATAAATAAAATTATTGTGAAGAAAGCATTATAGGTTTGAAATATTTGAATGTAGTCGCAGTACTTACCTTGTGCTTTATCTTTAATATTTCTAATTAATTTAGTAATAGCTCTGGTCTGTTAAGAAAATTGTTTAAAAAAGCTTAAAAGTCTTTTTTAGACAATTCAAAGAAAACTTGATCAGAAACATAGTTAACTCTAAGTAGTTTAATGTCTTCATCTTTGAGAAATAACTTTTCTTGATGAGACATCAAAAGAGCAATAACTTAACTTGTTCAAATAATGAAAGAGTAATATTACTTGATATTGTTTATTTTTATATTGCTTAAAAAGCTTTTTAAAATGCAAAATTATTTTTTGTTAGAAAATAGTTATACATACATCCTTTTATAGTTTATACAAACAATTTAATTGTTACACAATATCCTACAATACAACTCTTTCAATAATCATCTGAACCAAACTTTCCAAAAAGCTGAACTACAAAAAATGATATAGTTAATATATTAAACTTTATGAAAACCTTTCTGAAGTACTGTACATGCATTGTTAGACATTGAAATAATGTTGAAAAAGAGTCACAGTCTTGTAGTAACAGTTTAAAGAACACTCTAGAACTATCTAAGAAGTAGTTAGTGAAAGCCAAAATTTCTCATTAAGTAAACAACAAAGTTGCATATATTAGTTCTATACAATTGTAAAACCTACAAGAAACATCTACAAGGGTTAAGAACTCACAAAAGCTAAAAGTTGGTTTACCTAGCACTCTTACTTTTTTTTTGAGAAAAATTTTGTAAAAGTGGATAATTCAGTTTATCTTCTTCTAAAAATCGACATGTAAAATCACCAAAACAGTTAGCAGTATTTATTTTCTAAATAGAATTGTTTACAATCTAGATTAGAAATAATACAGTAATACAAACATAACTTTATACATGCCTTAAGCTGCTGAAATCTGTCAAACACTGCATCCAAACTAATCAGTATTCTATACTGACCATTTATGATAAAGTCAAAGTTTTTTTCTTCTTTTTGGTTTTTTGTTTAAATAATCTAAGTAAATAGGAAGATAGTAAAGTAATTTCTATTTAGTATAGTTTATAATTTTTACAAGCTCAATACAACTTATAATTGTGATTGTCTGATATCTGTGAATTGCAAGTTTTATGTTCAACACAGGCTTAAAATTATGACTATCTGATTTTGTGAATTGCAAGTTTTACATTTTTCTTTTTTCCTTTTTTTTCTATTTCTTGTTTTGTATCTTTTATCATTTACCTCTATACCTCTGTTTTTTTTTACATATAAATCTTTTTTTTTATTTTTTTGCTTCTTTATGAGAAGATGTCATCAGATTAGTGGTATCCTATTGTAGGGTGACAGTCAGACAAGCAGTTTATCTCTGTTTGAGGTAGTGCAGCAAGTTACACATAGGTACCAATAAGGTGGCCAGATAATGCTGGACTTAAGTATTAGAAAAATTTTCTATAATCTGTATAATATCAAGAATTCTAATAAAGTACTAGCATAACTCTTAAGTTAAAAAAAAAAATTGTCATACAACATATTATACATGCATATGTAATGGAATCACTGTCTAACTATGCTATTTAATTACTAAAGTTAAATATATAAAAATAATTTGATTGTATTTAATTATTATTTAATTTGTTTGCAATTTTATAAATTAACTTTTTTTTTATCAAACATGAGTAAAGTGTTTAAATAAACTATTGACTTCTAATAATATTTACTGTAAAAAAGAACTAATTTTTTAATAAAGTTTATAAAAAAATCAAAATTTAGTACAAAGGTCTTTCAAATATCTCACAAGTTATACATATTTGGATATATTTTTTTAAAATAAAAAACTATAAAATGGAATTAAAAAAATAGATGAGAACAATATTCAATGTAATAAAATAAAAATAAAATCATTTGAATAAGTTTTCTTAATAATTTTAGTTGTGACTATTCAATCAAAAATGCTGCAAAAATATAAATTTATGAATAAATAATATAAAATTCAGCTTTTAAGTTATCTTTATTCAAAAAAGATAGAATTAAATAAAAAAAGTATCTCTTAAGTAAGAATATATTGAACAATAGCACAGGTTAAAGAAATAACATTGCCTAAAAAATAATTATAATGTACTAGTAAAATATTTATATAGTATTCATTATTTTAATTTTAAAGGTTTTATAAAATATTTGTTTAGTTAAAATCAAAATGAAACTTTTGAATTTATATATTAGTTTTTTTAATAGTTTATAACAGTCAATCTGAAATTAGTGGACATGTGGTTATGTAATCAATATTAACCAATTAGATTAAAAATCTTTTATAATTAATTTTGAAAATTCATCAATAAATTTAGATTAACCACAACACTACAGCCATCTTTACTATATATCATATAGGCAGATTTGAACTAATTTAATAATATAAAAATATTATATAAAATTTAACTTCTCAAATGATTAATAAACTAGAGGTTGAAACTGGTTTTAATATTCAAGTTTATTACATAAAAATTTGAGTTTATCATACCAAAATTCAAGTTTATCACATAAATCATTAATGATTAATGTGATAAACTTGAATTTTGCATAATAAGCTTGAATTTTTATATGATAAACTTGAATATTTAAAATCAGTTCCAACCTTTACAGTAAACATTCATATAATTGGCTAATTTTTGTAGATCTACAAAAATGCAGTGTTGTTAATTTTTGTTTATATTTACTAATACTAACTTATCAAATACAGTATAAGTTAACATATCAAATATATTACAAATATTTTTTTAAATTAACTGTTTAATTACACTAACTTCAGACTTTTATATAAAATATTTAAATAAAAAAGTAAGTATGCTGCTGACAATTATTTTAATAGGATTTACAAATACTAAATATAAAATTTGTATATAAGTAAAGTAAACAAAGATCAACTGATTTATATAACAAAAGAAGGGAGAATTAATTATGAATTGTTCTTTATCAAAAGAGTTTACTGATTTTGATTAAGAAAATTGGATATGATCTTTTTTTATATAACAATAATTTTTATTAATATATTCTTATATTTATTTAATTTTTTTTTTATTTTTGTTTAATTATTCTTATTTTGAAATGTAATGCATTTTTAGTTTTAATTTTCTTTTATATGAATACTATAGAAAATATAATTTTCTTATAAAAAGAATTTAGTTAAATAAAATTTCTTATAATAACAAAAAATAAAACCCAAATCTGATGATTATTAATTTTATTTTATTTGTTTTTTTTGGTATTAAAATAATCTTTTTGGTCTTTTAACTTTATTAACACTTTTAAGTAATATAGTTTCTTAAAAACTATTATAAAAAAAATATACAACTAGTTATATGTATAACTTTTCTATATTACTTATTTAAAAAGTTCATCTAAGGTTTCTCTACTAGTTACTATATTTAACATTTCTGTTTAAATATTTTATTTAAATTTTCTAAAGCTATAATCTATATCAATATTACTAGATTAAGTTTATATCTTTATCTCAACCTTAGAACTAATTTATCTTTAAGATAAATCTTCTGAAGTCTTCTGTATTCCTTTTTACAACTTCATCAATGCTTTATTTATTTTTGTAAGTCTTTTTATACTACCAATTCAATAAGCTTTGTATGATATTACTTCATATCTAAATCAATTAGAAGTCAAGTTAATGAATCTCTTTTATTCAAGTGTTTTTATCTGTACAAATTATTTACTTTAGATTTTCTTCTTTAGATCAAAATTTTATAGGTAATATTATTAAAGATTGTACTATTTCTTTACTTGAAATTTTCAAATAAAATTTCTTATATCAATATACTTTTCAAATTTATTTATATAACATTATACACTTTCTAAATTAGTTTTGGTATAATTAGAATTACAAGGTTACAATTTTAGATAGCTTGTCCAAGTTGCCAGAATAGAAGTATTTTTTTAAAATTCTGTTATTAATATAATTTGAACTTTGAATCTATTGTTTAAAGAATAACAATTCAACTATTATACTAGAATCTCTATTATCTTTATTTTATTTGTATTAATTTAAAATACATATAATTAATATAAAAAAATCTTTTAAATATACTTTTTAATTATATTTTAAATTTTTTTTTTAATATTAAAGATGAATATTTGTAATTTAGGCTTTTATTAATAATATGTTTCAGCTTTAAATTGTATTATAATAGCTAAAAGAAACAATTATAGGAAGAGTATATTGTTATCCTATATCTACTTCTTTTAAGATAGTAGGTAACTAAAATGACTTTAGACAGTGAACACTTTTTGTAACCTCACTTGTTACTGTGTTATAACTAAGTCGAAGGATATTTTATTTTAGAAAACTTAATAAAGAAGATTTAAGACAATTTGCAATTATGAAAGAGGCTACAATTAAAAGTATATGAGGATACTAATAACTATTTAAATTGGGTAATATAAACTAGTAGTTTACTAGTGAAAGAGTATGAACACTCAATGTTAAACTTGGGGTTCACATCTGCTGCTTTTATATTTTTTGGCTACATAGTGGATGTAATGGCCTATATCTTTTACATGTACAAGATATTTTACAACTACTATTAATAAAATAAATAAGATATATTTGATATATAAAA